ACCAAAGCAGTTATAATTCCAAATTGTAATTACTACTTTGTATGCTGCTGCTGCCATGAAGGTGAATGGCAAGGTTTAAGCTACTTTAAGTAGCTAAAAAAATGGTCCTCACCCAGCAGGCAAAACTAGTATGCAAATATGTAACAGCCATAATACAGTCCCCAGCCAAATTTGGAGGATTCCTCTGCATATGGAGCATCTTTGAGTCAGCCACATACCCAGGCAGCAAATATATTCCTTCTAAAGCAAGCCAGGTTGACAGCAATAGGGAATGAGAATCCATACAACAGGTCAGCAGTGAGAGCTTTGCCAAAATGTTTGTGTGCTTTAACTCTGAACAGTAGGAACCACTCACCTCCAAATATAAAAAAGTGAACCTTGTACCCAAGACTACAAAGAAGTTAAGTCTTTTTCAGTATGAATACCTGTTTATTAGGAACTTGGAGTCACTTTATTTCTTATCACTTGTTACATCACAAGCATTTTCAAGTGTAGAGAGTTTTGGAACTTCTAACATGAGGACATAAAATAAAAGGCCAACTTATAAAGACTGAGGTGACTGATTTTGTGAACCCATTATAAATGTATACACCAAGAAAAATAAGCACCTGGAACACCAGAGTCTTGAGATAAGTATAGGGCACCCACAGTGAGCAAGTAGGTCAGGTGTAGTTGCACATGCCCAACATCACTGAAGGAAAAACTCTCTCACCAATACACAGATTTAATGGTTAGCTTTCAAATAACTTTTAAAAAACCCATAAACGCACTCATAGGAATGTATATAAATGAAAACTGTCCTAAAAAACAAAACCATACTATTACATATAACACCCCACCCCACCCCTCAGAAGAAGTGTAAAACAACATGTGGTAGATGTTACTTACATAAAACTTAAGGCATCATTCAAGACATTCAGATACTGTGATGACAACAGTGGTATAAGAATCTAAAAAGAATACTGCGGTTTTAAGGTGTTTACCAAAATTGACTACGACAGTTTTAAAACATTACGTACACACTATATTTTTAAAATATTAAGTTTCTAATATTAGATTAATTTTGTATAATTTCCTATGCAACTGCAACACAAGTATGATGTTATATTGAAGATTCAGTAGTCAACTTTTTATAAAACTGCTTATACAAACAGCTCATTCCTTTAGATACTATAAAAGTTAGTACCTGTTCTCAGTAAGTTAGTTAATAGGTGTCATCTAAAAGCAGCAAAAGGAAATAGTAAGATTTTTTAATTTGTCACAGCATTTTCCCCTATTCAGATCTGCTTTACACTGAAAATTAGCCAGAATTTTACTTGCACCTACCAACTTAAGTATTTTAAATTAATAACTTGTTTTGATATTGAATCACTTATACACAATGGAAAAATCTCTGCACCAAAATGAATACACGAGTTACTAGCAAAAATTTTCCCAGTCTTCTCCACTAGGCCTTGTCAGTTTCATTTCTCTCTAGTAACGACAAGTGCTTAGGTTTCACACACTGGCAAGCTGTATCAGGCTGCTTTGTCTTCAGTAATATTTTACCTAAATTTACATGTCATGCATTGCCATGGACTAGCAAAGAACATTCTGAGCACTAGCGGAGTCCAGAAACTAAAATCCCTGCAGAACTTTCACCTGAATCACTGGAATGCTTCAGCAAGCAGTCCCATTTGGAATAAAACTGAGCACAAATTAACCCCAATGCTGGAATAGTTGAAAATCTCCCGATTAACTATTAACAATCATGTAGTTTCCTCCAATCTTACACACTTACTTTGTCACAATGCATACATCATGTAGCTTCCAGTGCTCATAGTACAACTCAAAAACTGTATAACAATGGAACTATTGTTTATCCATGATATAATATCACTATATGAACCAGTTTGAATCCACCTACTCTTTTTCAGAGTATGATTTTTTTAAAATGGCAGAGTGTTGATCTCCATTTAAAATAAAATAAGAGCAAAAAAAGGTACCTAGAAGTAGCAGATGCTACTCTAACATTAATCACTGATCTAGCATAAATTCTGATAGAGGAATACATTTGCCAAGTTATCAATGATACTGGTGGTTGCACTGCCTTCTTGCCTGGAGAAGAAAAAAACTGCATATGAATTTATCCACTGGCAAAGTCCCTCCAAAATTGCTTATTCTCTAAAAAAACAAGAACATCAAATTCATGTTTTTGGGCTCGGCAAACATAAACCTAAGTAACTGTAGTTGCACCAGGCACAAATATCATCAGTCTCTAAAGGTAACTGTAGAATCCTGAAATCACAAGTTTTTCTGTAACCAAAAGCGTTTGTGTTGAAGCTGGCTTTGAACTAAAGCATTTGTGAAGTCTTAAAATTAAAAGGGAAAAAAGAAAAAAAATCTACACTTACAACTGTGACCAGTAGGGGTCATTTCAGCGTAAAGATTGCAGTGAAAAACACATTCAAAAGGGGGGAAAAAAACGAAAAAGAGTAAGACTACATCAATTTCTATTCATACAGGTCTGGATGTTGTTTCCTTGGCTTGTTGAATTTACTCAGTTATCAGTTTTATTCACCAACAATTCCCTGAACTGCAACAGATAATATGCAGAGAGAAACTCCTCTTCAACATGGCATAGTATTAACAGCTAGCGATAAATCAAACAAACAAACCTGTCACACTTCTATCTGCAAGTTAAATAAAACTGTCTTAATCTGGGGAAGGCGAGGCGGGGGTTGTAATCTAATTCTAGCTGGTACGTATGTACACATGAAACATTAAGAGTTCTCTTGCTCCTTCACTCCCAATAAGAAACAGAAGAGGAACTTGTGCTCAACAGTTTAATTGCTTAGGATGAGATAATTATAAGTAAGAATCCTAACAAAAGAAGTGTTTAACCCAATACTATATCCTTGATGCAGCAATCTCTCTCAACTGCTTCTTTCATTTAAGATCCCCAGAAGTAAATCCCTAAATAGTCTCCTTCACAACTGCTAAATTGTCTGCTTCATGACTATGTTCCAGCCACGGAACGCTAATTGAAATATGATCTTGCCTGTGGATGCTTCATACTATTTTCAATAATAGTCTATGGGATGTGTTACTAGTTGAAATCAAGTAACATTCAGGCTGCATCACTGCAAAAGAATGAGATGTTCCTGAACTGCCAGAGAAGTCCGTATTGTGATACAGTAAGGGAACTGGAATGTCAAGACATTTAACTGCCATATGCTTTCACTGTTCCACTCCATTTTTACAGGAACAGTTTAAAATATGTTCAGACTTTAAACAAGAACAGAAACCATCATCCAAGCAACAGAAAATGTAAAATCATCGCTCACTATATACTTTTAAATGTGCTGAATACACACGTTCCTGTTAAGTCCACCTCTACATAAAGGGGGGAAAAAGACCAATGGGAAGTAAAACAAACAAAAAACTCCAAACAAAATGAAAATAAACCAGACAAAAAGAAAAGAACCAAGACTCTTGCAGAAGTCAGCTCAAGACTGTTCTTATTAAACTATTATTACTAAAACATAGAGCATCCACTTGTGATTTCAGTGACAACCATGCAATTAACTGCAAGCGGGAGAAACTTGACCAGAAAGCTGTTTAACATAGGACTGACCAACTGCCTACTTATTTCTATACTGATCATTTGTGGCTACTTGAAGTTAAGTTATTTTGGTATCTGGTACTAGTTTATAAGTTTACCAAGCGAAGATATTTAGACGGTTCTCAGTTTTGGCAGGGGGGAGCTCTTTTAAAAGACACACAAGACACTTTTTGGACTACTGCCGCCTCCTCAAGAGATTTCTGGACTCTATACTGCCCTCTACCTCTCAGCCCAGTAAGAGCCTCTCTACTATTCCTTTCCAGAATTGTCCAAGCTCACCCCCCCCAAAAGCCTCCATATACAATTATGTATTTTCCACATAAAACTCCCAGTAATTTATAATCTCTCAACAGTGCTGCACCCCACCCCCTTGCCTTTCAGCTTTCCCTTGCTCAGCTCTTTGGTATGCGACCAAGGTACACAGCAACTCTTTCCTGCCAGAGTCATCAAGTGAGCTCTGGGAGGAAAACAGCCCTGCGTGTCTCGACTAAGGAGCCACCTCCACCCCGTATGGAGGAGGCGGGAAGTATGAGCAGAGCCCCGGCCACAGGGATTCCCCTCCTCTGGTAGTGGGGGGTAGGGGAGGGAAAACTTGGGGGGAGGGGGCGGGTGTTAAAATAAATAAATAAATAAATAATAATTTTTAAAAAAGAAGAAAAAAAAAATCAGCGTCCCGCCACACATCAACTGCTTGGAGGGGTGGGGGATAAGAAAAACTCCATGCCTTGTCACATATTAGCTACTTGGGGGGTAAAAAAAGAAGAAAGAAATCCTGTCTTCATAGTTTCATAGTTGTTAGCAGATAGGAAGGGACCTTACAGATCATCTATTTGGAAGGG